ACGGAGATGGTCGAAGGCGTAGGCTCAGGAAACAAAAAGAAAATCAAAAAAGAGAAGAGTGTAGCATGCGTGTAGCATAGGAATATTCCTACACCGTATCGGTTGTTGACTGTGAGACTAGTCGCGGAAGCGTACGGGCAACCGTACTCGGCGACCGGAACGTGAGACGGTAGTCTAGTTCGCGTCGCGTGAGCCTGCAATCTCATCCGAGGTCAGAGGCGGCGTGGTCTGCTGATCTGGACGTGAGACTATCGTCTCGTCCGTAGACGGTGCAGATGACGCGTGCTGTTGACTGGGACGTGAGAATGAGGTCTCAGATGTATCTAGCGTGGGACCTGAAGATGGTTTGAGGATCCCGCTAGTAGGTTTGATAGGTCTAGCATTGAATCTCAGGTTACCAGATAGGGCACTGTCATCGACGTGTGCTGGTTTGAGACGATCAACGCTGACGATCTCGACGCGGCCGTGTCGATCAACCTTGAAGGTCTTTTCGTGACGAGCGATCACGTGAAAAGGGCCTTCGTAAGGCTGTTGCAAAGGTTTGCGTACCGAATCTACTCGTATGAAAACATGTGAACAGGTAGATAACTCTCGTGGGAGAGCGACCTGTCGATGTTGTATTCGAGTTGACACCGGAGACATCGTTCGCATAAATGCAGACAGTCGATGGACGTAGTCTGATTCACCAAAATCAGGTCTGCTCCGTGGTGTGAAGAATTCCCCAACAGACGCAATGCCGCGCCGTATACCAGTTCAGCGGCGGAACATTGGATATCTGCCTTCAAGCTCCTTCGAATGCCTAAGAGGACGAGCGATAAGGTTTCGTACCAGTTGTCGTTCTCGTGTGCTCGTAGTGCACTTTTAAGTTGGCAGTGAAACCGTTCAACTTAACCATTTGATGCTGGGAGGTAGACGTTAATGCGTATGCGAATGCATTCCGTACCAAGCAGCCGGGTCAGCGAGGAGAATAGTTAATAAGGGAAAATTTCTCAAATAAAGCGTGGAATTCATCGTCACGCGGGTAATAAGTGACAAGGATTCGGTACACATGCATGTGAGTCTATTATATTAATACTATCCTTAACGTTATCCGCCATGTCGGGTATATTATATATTAAAATATATGAAAATATACGACAGACGTGGATAGATAAATCATAGACTCACCGAATTTAGTTCTTTGGAAGATTTGACCAGAGGTTGAGGCGTGTTCCAGAACTTGGGTCACCAATTGTAGCGTGGTGTCGAGTTGAGGTTAACTATGAACACCGCTAAAAAGAAGCACGTTCGCTGGCGATCTCGTGGCATCGAAAGGATACCGAGATCGTCCCAGGATAGAAGCTTGGTTAAAGAACGTAACCGAATCCGCGCGAAGTTACAATCAAAGTGTGAGTATAAGAATGGAAGCACAAAATAGCCGTCATTAGCACAGTCAAACAAAAGCACATTAAAACAAACACTGGTACAGTTGGTTATAATAATAATTGTTTTTATTAAACCAGTGGTGTTCTCGTGATAAATGTAAGTCACTACAAGCTGCTTAATCTATTCGATGACTCATTCATTTCCCTATGTATATATATATATATATATATATATATATATATATATTCTACTGCTACTGCTACAATCGTAGTTCGCTTGCACATTCGTTTTGTCCCTCTGCTGTGTGGTCAAAACTATCTGTTAATTAAACTGGGGTAGCCGCTTCTTTTAACCTTCTGATTTCAAATACCGTTGAAGATTGTACGATAACGGTTTGAGGTTGATTATTTATCGAAGCACAGCCACTACAGGAAAATCGACCAACACAGTTTCGCACATGGACTGAGATATCCCATTCGGTCCACATATGAATGATGCACATCTCATAATTTTCCTGCATTCGAATTTTATCTTCATTATTTTTCTCACTGAAATCAACTGACCTCTGCCTAGTAATGATATATATGAAGTCATCCAGAAACCCTTATTCGCCGCGACAAACACATTTAACGAAGCCACAAGACACAAATATTGAAAAACAAATGCCAAGTTGAGTAGAATTAGTTGAGTCTTGTTGCTAGACTACCACCGATTGAACATTATGGAATACCTGAATCTGTATCAGAAAAACAACAAGGAATTAATCAGCTTTTACTAGCTTAAGAGAAAGGTATTGATTCAATATTGGTGTTTGTCTGTAAAAATATTCCACGAGAGTTCGAATTTACATCCCATCAATTGGGTGTGGAATGAAACGTTTTGTTTGTTTCAATCACCCGACACTTAAAGCCGTTGCTATTGTCAAGGTTTTTTTTTTAAAATTCGAGGGTTAGCAAAACATTTGTCTTCACTACTAGGGATAGAAGATCGGACGATCTATATTAATCTTTTTAATTTTTGTATTCAATCTCGCTTCAGATGCACCATCAGAAGGTGTTGTTATTACATATTATGTTGTCGAATTCTCGTATTTCACTACTTGATGCGAGAAGTAGTTTTACGTAAAACACCAGATGTAGATGATGTGATTTCGATCCCTGTATTTCCTTGGGATGTACCTTTGGATGATAAGCTTTAAGTGGATGAAAGGATGGAGTTAGTTATATCCAAATTATTTCCAAAAACTGGTTTAGTCGATACAAATTTTTGTATCATTTTTAAAAAGATGAAAATCAACGACTATTTATGATGAACGTAGTTTTGGAATTGCTTTGAGCAGAAACAACAGAATGTCTCATTTATCTCTCATTTATTACATGTTAGTTTCTCTAGATGAAGAAGATTTCCTATGATATAAATTGTTATAAATGCGCCGGTGCGTCTTAGAGGTAGTTGCTCAATGTTTTATTGAATGAAATTTTCTGTGTTTAGAGCATGATTTGGGTCTACGTGGCATAAAAAAATTAAAGTCTTCTCTCATTAGCATTACTGATGGGGAATTATTTAGGCTCTACTTGTTTTTTGGGTCATTTTGACGTTGATTAATTAGTATTTTACAGAGTTGTAAACTGACCTGTTGTTATCGTTTTGTTTTTGAAATCAAATCAGATACTTTTAAAGTGAGAATGCGTTCTTTTATTTTGGTTTCTCTCTCTCCAAAGCTTTACCTTCTATGGTAAAGGAAGTGGGAAGGAAAGTCCACACAAACTGAAAGTGATAAAAGTTTTTCGCCTAGGAGGAAATACTGGCACCGAAGATCTAAAGTACGATGAAGCGAATACGTTTCTGCTATTGTGATTGATAAATCTATGTCACAAAACGTCTCCAACTGCTGATTGGGTTTGTTGCGTTGGCTCCTACCATGTAGCCTCCATTTTAAAAATGCGTCAAACCAATGGCCGTTCACTTATGGACTGCGGTCGCATTATGATTTGACGAATATTTTAAGAAGGAACAATCTATCTATTAAATACTCCAATAAGGCATTAACAATATAGAATGTACAAAACGCCATTAATTTGGCTTCACAATAGTAAATAGGTTTTTCTACCACGTGTTAACTTAATAACAACATTAAAATTACTTGACTTTAGTATTATCTTTAAAATAAATGTGCTAATCACAAGATGTTAAATATTTAAAATAATTGTGAAATTATACAAATAAGAAATTAGAAAAATTAAATAGTCAGACTTCACAAGTAAGAAATATGGTATCAAAAATTTGTGAATGCCACGAATCAGGCTTAATCATGAGGATTTATTTGATTTGGTACTCATGTAAATGAAGGGATTTGGAAGAAGAGTCTAGCTTGATTAAGACTCAACATAAATCTAAAGGTAATATTTTTATCATTTTAACGATAAGCATCGACTGGACGTGCGACGACATGAGGCTATCTATAAACACAGTTATTGGATTTCCAGGTTTCATACTCGGTTTAACTATCTGAATAAAAATGTTTGACCTATTAAACACATCTTAGTTATTTAGTGATAAAAGAATGCATATAAAAAATTACCACAGTGACACTGACCATTTTTTAGATCCTAGTGCCTATTTTTGGACTACCTAAAGGTTTGCTGAATTTTTACTCATTGTTATAGCTATGTTGTTTTCAATACGTCACAACATGATTTCCAAGAAAAAATACGTGATTGTTTAGGTATCCCTGTTAGATTACTCATAAAGAATGAAATAGCCATAAAACAAGTATGTATCTCTAAAAATGGAATTCCTCCTAAACTTTTAAACTTTTGTAATTATAGGGCATTACAAGCATAATTGATTGTATTGTTCTGTAACTGAGAAAAGCACCAAAGACAATTTCTTACACTGCAGTATCTTATACATTACTTGTCACGTAAATACACGAACCATGGTCGTAGAAACCTTATTTTACAAATTTGGGGGTAAATTAATTTTATCTTTCCAAAAAGACAACCCATGTTTGTCAGCTTTCTTTCTTGGTTTTCATTTCTGCCATACGGAATGTTCCTGGAATTGTTAAGAAGTCAGGCTTGCTGACCACTTCAATTTTTTTGCATTCATTAACACTGAGGGTTAGCATTCTTTTAAGTTTTGTGTTACCCTTACATTTATCATGCTATCTACTGAAACACCTGGTTCACGTTTAGAGAGACCCTTTCTCCAATCTTTTATCTCTGTATATGGTCTTCAGCGTTTTTTATCTCTCCTCAGAGTTTTTTCAGAGTTTGTCAAAAGCCTTAGTTACCCATTTTATTGAATAGACCATTTTTAATGATAACTTTATTTGATATCATCGTTACTATTAAAAATACCATATTTTATTGATTGAGGCAATATTTACTACAAAAATAGTTTCAAATAAGTTAACTTACATGATTTTTGAAAGCAATGTTTCGACATAACACTTAATAAAAAAACCCCAACTTTTGTTTTTAGAATAAAACAACAAATACTCATGCAATTTATTTCATTTTTTCTTCTCAACCCAAATCATTTTGCTTGGGGTTTAACTGACGTTTTTACTATTCCCATTATTCAGTTGGTGTCGTTCAGTAAAATAATCTTTACAAGTGCTTGTTTGAATAATGCATAGAGGTAAGTTATTTCATTTTCCAAAAATACCTTCATGATACCGAAGAATTTCTATATATTCAACCAATTGGAAGTATGAATTGGTTATTACATACACTTTATACCCAATCAGCGTTTTCCAAGTGTACAGATATCATTAAAAAGTGTACTAATGGGCAGTTTATGTTAAATGACGATTACCATTTGTATTGTTTAAGTCTAATAAATCGACTTGGTGGGTGTATACAACAATCCTTGGATAGTTTATTTAAATGTTTGGAGCATAACAACAAGTCAGTTGATATAATGAAGCAAATCGCAAAGTCATTGTAAGTGTCCTTGCTGTTGCTATTATTCTTCATATAGATATTTTCGAATGAATAAAATTTGTCTTTTTTTGTATATAAAACAGGATTGCGATTTTCAGTTTACTGATTAACAACACTGGATAAATGACTCAAATTTTATTGGAAAAAACACAAACTGTTGGTAGAGAGTGTAAATTTTATGAAACTAGACACATTTTATCAGTCGTTCAGTCATATGCAAATAAGAACCTGATAAATATGTGTAGAAAAGTGATTAGTTACTAAGAATCATATCAAAGTAGAAGTATCGGTGGTAGTAAAAAATAAGATTCGACAATGATGAATTCATGAAATAATTGTAAATTTCATCGATACCTCTGTGCCATTGACCTATGTCACCCAACATATCTAACTATTGATTATGGCAACTAGGTTGTGTGCGCCTATCCACACAGCTTAACCCAGCATCTAGTGACTATATGGGTTGGTAACACGTCTTGGTATCGATGCTTTCAGCTTTCTACCAAATTACACCAGAAAACATTGCACATTTAAATGAGTAGCTGTTGAGGATCATGATACACATTTCAACCGCCGTAGTTGATCAGGACTCAACCTCACTAAGTGATTTACTAGATCTACCTAGTACCCACGTACCTCATTTCATATTTATGAGGGTGATTTTCTGTACAACTGAAGAGTAATCCTCACCACAAATCGATATAAGTTGAAAAACAAGTTAAAATTATCTCGAATTAAAATAAAGATTTTATTATTTTAACATTTGTTATCAGTAATTACCCCACTCTCAGTCGTACACAGCGTTAAACCCATGACTTTCAGATCTCCTGGGTAGTCTAAAATAAATTAGTCAGATTTGATAATTCACATATTTAACTGTGGTCAAGTTGCAGTACAACTATAAGTAATGTAGCGTCTAGTACAACCGTACACCTTGGTCATGCTGCTACAGAAGCCGATTTTAAGCAAAATGATTTCAAGTCCTGTTGCTAGTGTGTGCTTTGTTTTCAGTTTGTTAGTTACCCAAACTACGAAAGAATATTTCAAATACTTAGTAAAGATCTTGTCTATCTAGCAAATGTGACTACAGATCCAAAGGTACAGGTAATTAAGTTTGGTTTTGGATGACCATATTGATAATAGTACTAAATCTATTACCTTCGTACTCCAAAAACATTACTCATCAGCATCAGAACTCTAAAGATCAAGGTGAGATGCTATTTTTTGAGCTGATCTTTTTTAACCATTCCTTTCATTGTGTTGAAACAGAATAGCTTCACATGCTGGTAGCTCGAGGGCAACACTTTGATATTATCGCACCACAGTGGTGTAAGACAGTACGTTACAGACATTATAGCTCTATTGAGTCATCATGATAAGCAGACGCAACTGTTAAGTGAAGTTAGCAGTTGTAATCGACTTCCTAATACAGAATTATTGTCATGCAGTACGATCAATAATTTACCTCCTCATACTGATGGAATTATCTTCATACGCTACAACATTCCACGTAATGAAAAAATCTTAAAAGACTAAAAATCCTCATAAAACAACCTTAATTAACCATTACCGTGTGTAGTAACTAATGATCAATTTCTATATGGATTTCTGAAAATTCTTGCTGAATAGTAACCAGTGTGGTAATATCTGGTTTTTATTTATGACTTCTCTAGGTTTCCTTTATACTCATCATTCTGATTAACTATACGACAGTTCATAATATTCGGTGTTGAATAGCTTAGGCTATTCCCAACACACATGTGTACAAATACATTATTTATTCATCGACATGATCAAGACTGATCAAACTCTATCCGATTTCAAAAAGAGCAGATCGAATCAATTCATATTATTTCGTTTGGTTCCTGTCAACTACTTACAACCTATAATATTTGAAAATCATGATAAGGAATCTGGTCAAAATTACTTACGTAATTCAGCACACAACAGTTTAGTGCAGAAAGGATGTAAATACATTTATAAGATTAAATATTGTATTTGCAAATATATCTTTTATAAAAGAACACTGTACAGCATCAATTGTAATAAAAATTCAATGAGCTGGAAATAAGTTGTTACGTAATAAATGAATACTAATGATAAATAAGAATGAAGTTAGTAAATTCCAGCCAGTTAAGATAAAATCACTGATTTAGAAGAATGGCAAAATAAGACAATGTGATCAATTATAAGAAAAAGTTAAACGAACTTTTATGATGTAACGAAGGTATTATGTGTAACCAGACCAGAAAAGTATTAACAATTATGTCCTTTTGGACACAAATCAGGGCCCTGACGCCTAATAACAATAGTTTCAGAAGATTTTGGAAGACTAGAGAATGATTGTTTGTTAATCATCTTGAAAGACCTCAAAGTATGGACGTAATGTCATATATTCAAGAGATGTCCAGGAATTTCTCCTTGCAAAGTACTAATTCCTCATAAACAAAATATTTTTGGAACATGTTAAAAAAATCCAAGATAAATCCTTTTACCCAGATCAACTTAACCGCTTTGGAATATATACGTAAATTTATAAGCATACGTGGTGGTGATGTGAAATGGGAACTTTTTGATTTTTGACTTTGTGAACATCTTGTTTTAATCTGGACTAATATTTTTGCAGCAGTTTAGGTTCTGGTTAATGTAGTTTTTAATCTTCCACTGACTGTCATCTCAACATTATCACTCCTAAGAATAAGATAGGTAAATATTGGTTTTTAGTTTTTCTATAATTGTCGATATTTTCCCAAAGTGAAGAGCTGTCTCTCAGAATCCTTTCGACGTCTGTCAATTTTTCTAGTTTGTCAATGGTACATGTCGTTTCTGCTCTTTAAAATAATATGCTGACCGATGCTTTTTTATAACTGAATAAGCAGAAGCTATCAAAATTCAAACATGAAATATTTCAAGTACTCTTCTAATAAACCGATTATTTACTCTACTGTGTCTAAGCATCACTTTGAACATAAATATGGCCTAATCATTAAAACATTTGTCATGTGTACATTGGTTTCTCTACAGGTATTTACAAGGTCATCATAATGAAGCATTGGAAATTTATCAAGATGCTTTAAAACTTAATCAAAATGATTGGGTAATAATCTATTAATTCCATCTTCTTACATTTTTGTCAGGAAATACCATTTGGACAAGGTATATGTTATTTCTACATGAAAAAATTTGAATCGGTTTGTGTGTAGTAATGAATTATCCTAATCCATTCAATGTATTTCTTTGTTTCCTTAGGCTGAAAAGTATTTTAAAAAATCTAGTAAACTTACCAAAAGCATTAAACCTTTGAAATGGTTAACAAAAGTTCATTTAGAAAAGAGCTCAATAAATTCTGCTATTGCAACTTTGAAGAAAGCAACCTCGTACGTCGAATCTCTCTCTCTCTCTCTGTATATATATATATATATATATATATATATTAATTATTGTTATTTTTTCACACAACCAGAAGCATCATAATATTTTATCAGTCATCAACTTGAGCAATTATACCTCAACAGTTCTGTACAATACTTCTATAGGAAATATCAAGAATAAATTATACCCATAAAACTTTTTGTCAAATAATATTAAATAATTTCAACAATCAGCTAGAGAATCTAGTCTAATCATCTTCTGGGAAACAAAGAAAATGAATTCACTTGGTATTACTTGCTTCAATCTTCACATTGATGTTTAGGACTACAGTTGATCAGTCTCTTATTGGCATACGTGCATACTGTCTCGATATTACATTGATTTCCAAGCATTATAAGCAAGGATGGGTAGTGGCTAGCAGTGTAATACAGGACGCGTGTTTCGTCCTACTTGGGACTCGTCAGCTGAATGTTCCTGCATCCCAAAGTTGATGTTCACTTTGTGACTCGAACCCAGTATCCTTCACCTCAAACGCCATCGCGTTATCCACTTAGCTACTGAGTCCGGATAGCTACTTGCTTGTGCAACGGGGTGAAAATGGAAATTACCAAAGATCAATAAGATTGGAAACATTTGTTTCAACCATGTTTATGGATATATTGTAAATAACTATTGCAGAACTGACTAATATAATGTTTGTGTGGTTCTTGGCCCTGATTAAATTTCATCTATTAAGAAGTCGTACCACGATCACTAGACATTGTCATGGTGTTTTGATGTAAACCGATCAGAACTACGAATTTAGCTTAAGAAGTCCTTGTTACTATTTAATGTTTAATGTTGTGAATATCTGCCTCTTACAAAAGGATAAATCTCAACATGGATAATTCATTGGAAACGTTACTAATTGTAAACAGGTTTAAATCATACAAATAGCATCGATTACATGAAGATTGTATAGGGGACTTGCTGATAAGTGCTAACAACCACAGGAGTTGAATTAGTTGGGCCTCTTGTTGATTGCTTCTCACCACCCTAAATGTTTAGTTATTAATTCTGTCTATAGTATAAATGTGAGTTGTTTAGTGCCAAATTATAATCAAACTATTAAATGTGATGTTGTTTTTAATATCATATCATAGGCTATTCAAGCCTAACTCTAACTCTGGCGAACAGTCCTAACTGAAATAAAACTATAAGTTTAAAGAATTGTAAGGGGTGATCAGGTCATCATATGTCATAAATCCAAAAAATCATCAAGTCGTTTGGATTTGCTGAATAATCATAATTTGATCATTTCGGACACTGTATTACATGTCCTGAAGTTAGCTGTTTTGGTGCATTTGCATGCATTACTTTTTACATCCTACTAAGTTTTTTAGTTGAATATTACTCAATAAACTTCATTCATGTAGATTTGTATTTACACTTCTCTTCGGACTGACCTCGTATGTCTATATTCATCGAAACATCAGTGAATTCCTGGAATGTATAGCGTATATTCTGTTTTACGTGAAACAGTTGACTATATGGCAGCATCATTGATGAACACGGTGGGTCTGATGTGGATGTAAAGGCGCGGATTGGCAAAGCAAGAGCAGCAAATTTACAACTGAAGGACATCTGTAACTCAAAACAACTGTCAACCAACAACAACGTCAGAATTTTTTATTTATTATTATTATTTCAATACAAATGTCAAAGCAATTCTATTCCATGGGGCGGAAACCTGGAGAACTACGAAAGCCATCATCCAGAAGATACAAGTGTTTATTAACAGTTGTCTACACAAAATTCTTCAGATCCGTTGCCCAGACACTATTAGCAACAACGTACTGTGGGAGAGAACAAACCAGATCCCGGCGGAGGAAGAAATCAGGAAGAAGCGCTGGAAGTGGATAGGACACACAGTGAGGAAAGCACCCAACTGCGGTGCGAGGCAAGCCCTCACATGGAATTCTCAAGGCCAAAGGAAAACAGGAAGATCAAAAAACACATTACGGCGAGAAATGGAGACAGATATGAGAAAAAATGAACACAGATTGGATAGAACTAGAAAGGAAGGCCCAGGACAGAGTGGGTTGGAGAATGCTGGTCGGCGGCCTATGCTCCATTGGGAGTAACTGGCGTAAGTAAGTAAGTAAGTTAGTAAGTAAGCTGACTATATGCAGCGTAGAAGCTGGCATTTATATATGAATCGCTTCAATTTGTCGCATTATATTAGTGTAGGTAAGTGGAATTATCATAACAAATGCCAGAATAGTAGCAGTGGTAACAGTATCAGTGGTTGTAGTGAAATTCAGCTTAGTAAATATGGCTCGAGAAGAAAATGTTAATTGGCGAAATAAAACTCATAAGATAGCTTTTACGAAAAAACAATCCGTGAATGCATCTACGCGATTACAATCTGTTTTAAGTCGATTCGCAAAACGTCTCCAACGATAGGTCATGATAATTGCATGAACCCTAACCAGGTAGTCCGCATCTGCTAACGTGGTTCAAACTAACAACCAATAGCCCCATAAACTGATACTATGTCTTGTTTTGGTCGTCTCCAACTTTAATCTACTAAAACAACAGGTAACACCAATCGTCAATTTAGGTGGAGGTTAGACATATGCAAGTCCGTCTAGAGCCTTTATAGGGTTACTACCGGTCCTAAGCCCAGTTATAGGAGGAATTTCGGACATGGGATTAACAACCCCATTCCGTGGAAAAGCTACATTAAGAAATACTAGGTATGTTATAGATATCTCAAATACATCAATTAATAACGATTCACAACTCCGTTAACCGGTTTACCATCCATACCCAGAGCCCCGGGTCTAACCTCAGCATTGCTCATTTAGTGTACACAAAATACAAAAGAAGTGTTTCAAAGAGGTTTGTGTTCAAACACTAGTAAGTTGCCAGTATTTTCTACTTACAGAGGCTGTTTCACAGTTACAATGTTTTTTCCAGCTAATGAAGACTTATTTAATTTGTCATAATGTTTCAATATTGAGAGCTAAAACGTGAATAAGGGTCCTCCGATTGCTATAAGAGCGGTTGTCGCTTCCAATTTCCCATTCCATGGAATGATATTGATTCTTGAGAGACATGCAAAGATAATTGGATGTGAAATAGTCATCAAGACCTGGAAGTGTGACAGCAGTGTCCAAGTGACAACTGTTTGATGTCATTCACATAGGACCTTTCTTGAACTAGTCTTTGATGTTTTGGCTCTTTACTTTCAAGGCCTTATTGCTAGAGACGGAAATCTATGAAGTAAGGTTAAGTGTGACATCTTTTGAGCCGAGTACTTTTAACCTCTCCCTTACTTTATGAGGAGGTAACATCACTGAAGATGCTGGTTATCTGAGAGAAACAACGAACTATCATCACAGTCTTGTTCATTTAGTAGTATTACTTCATCCTTAGAATTTAATTCCCCGTTTTTAGTCTTACCACTCTTAAAGAAATTTACCTGGCATGGAAGAACCTAATGGGACAACTTTTTCAGCCGGCACATCTTTTGTGGGTCATCACGATAAGGAAATCTAACCAGAGAGTCAAGTTAGTAGCTATTATGGCAGAAGTCATAAACTAAGACAATATGAACAACTGCCTAGTATAATTATATTTTGGTTGGCAGACTGATATCTTGACTTCACTACAAGTAATGGAAGTTAACAAAAACCGACGGAGCTTTCTGAATCTATTCCGATACAGAACTGATAAGAATAACAATATAACCGCAGCGGTCAATTCAACAACTTCATTATCTATCATTAAGGTTCAGTCATTGAATCAGACGATTTTTGAAGAAGCATTTTGTATTATTTTTTTCTGAGAATGAAACTCTTTCGGCACTTTACAATATAAAATGCAAACTTGTATCTTTTTCTTTTGATAAAACAGACTAGTACCTGAAGATCCGGATATCTTATCTAATCTGGGTTCATTATATTTCCAAACCAATCAAGAACAATTAGCATTTGAATGTTTAAGCTCAGCAATTATTTTAAAACCGGATCATTTTGATGCAAATCAATTAGCTGGTTTAGTTATTACACTGCATAAAGATTATGATGTGGCATTGAATAAATATCGATCAATATTAAAACAATCTTCTGAAAGTTCAATATTATGGAATAATATTGGTGTAGCACTAATGGGTAAAAGAAATTTAATAGCTGTAAGTCATTAAAATGTTTTGTGACATATATATGCTAGGACGAAATGATCGTCCAATGCTTCCGGGTTTTATATAGTGATCTATCTAAAATTAGTTTGTGGTTTAAACCATGAGAATTCCACGATTCCCACAGACTCCCTTCACTAATAATAATAATATGCTCACAAGTGACTGGCTTCAAGATGCTACTTTTGAGGCTATAGTGGAAAGCCGTGGCTGGTAAAGCTTAATCGTGCTGAGCATGAGGAAGGGACCCATTGAAGACAATCGAAGATATTCGCACAATATCGCAGATTGATCAAAGTCAGACTTTTACACCTTTGGATATATATATTATGGGGGTGAGGATATCGATTGTTTTGAGGGTAGTTTTTTTTACCACGGAGCACTGGTTTGCTGTTGTGCCGTAATGTATTTTCAGACAGTTGCTTTAGAAATCGAACGCAAACTATTCAGACACCTTGAGGAGCGAGTAAACTTTAGACCACTGAGTTGGTATCCCACGGTTCATATTTCTTATGAAAATTACCCTTCATTATTCAACAGTCACGTAATAAGTAAACGACGTCTAAACATAACAAGGTGAACAATAAAACGTTACAGATAACTTCAGCCATAATACCATTCATTAAATGAATCAGTTTATTTGACTCAATTCCACTGAGTCACGCAGATAGTGTCAATCAATACAGTTCACCATATTAACTCCTTTTAAAATGTCAGTCCAAAAATATTAAAATCATGTAAATGTTCGACTAATTTAAAAATAATCTGACTAATGAGATTCAACAAATGTGTAAATTAACTCTCTGGAGATTCGCGGGTGGATGAAGTACGAATAATTGGAAAATGTAGAACAGTGAAAGCGATTCTCTGGAGTGATTTAATGTATTTATTTATTAAACAAATGATTTACGAGCAAAGGTGGAAAGTGGCTAACAGCGGAATCCAGGACGCGCATTTCGTCCTATTTGAGACTCATCAGCTGAATGTACCTGCACCTCAAAATTGGTGTTCACTCTAGCACTCGAACCCAATACCCTTTGCTTCAAACGCCATCGTGTTATCTACTTTGCTACTGAGTCCTGACAGCCACTTGCTTGTGCGATGAGGTGAAGTTATGTTCAGTTGGTGTTGTTTACTTGTATCTTCCCATTGTTATTTAGGACTACAATTAATCAGTCTCTAGTTGATATGTGTGCATTCTGTGTGGACTGCCTCGATATTGCCTGAAGTCACAAGCTTTATAAGCAAAGATCTTTGCTTAATGGGAAGATACAAGTAAACTACACCAAGTGAGTTGAATTATAAGATTTTCCGTTTATGAATTACAACAAATTTAATTAAAACTCTGTTAATGCTCATCTTGATACCATAAATATCCGAGATTTATTAGTCTCTTGTATTAGGATACTATAAAGTCCTTGTGTCATATCTTCTTGGGATTCTGATTGTGTTCCAGTGAATTAAAACCTCTGACTGGTCACGCTTAATTTTTGCCCATTACATCATTTTAACTTCGGAAATAACTCATTTTTAACTTTTCTTCCTCTATTTTGACAATCACTTTCAAAATTAACAGTCTATTACTTGTTTTAAACGTGCCAGTTACTTAACACCATTCGATTGGAGAATATCAATTAATCTGGGCATAATTTATATGCATACATCACAATGGTTGAGTGCATTTCAACATATCACTACATCAATTAATCTGTTTAATATCATTAAACAAAGATCAATCCATCGTTCTGTTATAAATGATAATGATGACAAAAATAATCATAAAACTACTCATGATGTTGGCATGTTATATTGTTTTTTGGGTTATTGTTTAATTAAATTAAATGAATATTCCAAAGCTTATGAAGCTTTTATGAATGCATATAAACAAAGCAAGTGAGTCTAATGAGTATATCTGTCTCATTTATATTTGGTAATTAGAGGTAGTCAGTTGAGAACCTTAGATAAAGGTATCTTGTTAGTTTGTGCTTGTCAGTAAAACGAACTTGCAATATTTACGGAACTGATGAGGGTCTAATTGGAAACAATGCTATTCGGTTATGTATGCTATTCTAACTCACATTTCATACTATCATTTTCACTCTATGATGGCAACACTTTTTTGTTTTATTTTCATATTGAGTATTCTCAGCTCTTAACTGCTTGTTTTATATGACATAAGATAAACTTCATTTACTCTTGGAGTTCGCTCGAGATTCCAACATTGGTTATCTCGGTTCCTATACTATGATATTTACCTAGTGGTGTATAACATGAATATTTTTATAAGGATAGTATTTATTTAAATTGAAATTTTCTATTATGTAAACTATGGTGATTTATCTATTTTAATTATTAACATTTTAGTAAAAATCCTTTAGTGATTTTGAATTGTGCAAATTTTCTTGTCAAATCAAACAAAAAATTGGCCAATCAAATGTTTGCAAAATATAAAAAACTTAATTTAACCAGTGAATTTGAATTACCATATTGGGTGAATAAAAATGATGTAAGTAATAATAAATGATAGTTGCCATTGGAGACTTGGAATTTGTTTTCTAGAATAAGTCACTTAGTTTTGTAAAAGTGAGTTAACGATATATTAAACTAATCAGAAATCGATAAAATAATAAGTGCACGTGTTCAATTAGGAAATGATTTTCGTTTTCAAGGCATGTAAAATACATCACTGGTGCCTAAATTTTCTAAGAAATATATATAACTCCACCTGTAGCTCTTCTAGGGCTACTGCCGATTCCAAGCCCGGGTAACGGAGGAATGTTAGGCGTGACATCTGCAACCTCATCCTTCACTCTTAGTGACACTTTAGGTTTGATCCGTTTTAGGGATTACAGATGTATGATTATTCCCTACTTCAATCAAAACTATACTGCATAAACCTCACAGTCAGAACTGCTCGTATTGCATATTTTATCGAGATAACTTACAGATAATTGATCTTCAACGTAAATTATGTGTACATATAATGACTTTCGTATACGAGACAATGTCTATTTCATTTGTTACTTTCCCTCTCCTAAATATAATCAATGTAAATAACTGGTTACCCTGTTCAACATAACTATTAAATATCCTAATTTAGGTCAACTAACATCTATATTCGTCTGATATACACCACCGCACTCGGTGGTAGCGTTCAAAAACTTTAAACTGGTGAGACCGACGTGCCTATTTGGAAGAAGGCATAACTGGCATTAGAATATCTAAAACAACATACTAAAATATTATTTTGCAAATGTCTCATATAAAAGCTTTATTCATGATACGTTGACATTAATACTGTTTCAATAACTTTAGTCTGATGTATTTGTATACAAAACACCGTTCAATATAAATATTTAAGTATTCATGGAATACACACATCATACTACTTATATTCACTACTTATACTACTATTTGTATTCAAATGGTCTCTATTATTCTCTGTTCCGTTATTTTTATGAAATTAATTTTGCATACGTATTCTGTGTCTATTACAAGCCCTATTTTCTGTGATATCTGCCATTCTGATGGGATATCTAAATGGCCGAGTCGGAATAGACAACTACGGTTACGAAGATATCACAGGACGACATGGGCCAGAAGAAAGGAACCGGAATGACGAGAGATTTGCAAATCTATGTGCATTCAACAAATTGGTTATAGGGGGCACAATATTTCCACACAAACACATACACAAAGGCACATGGATCTCATCAGACCACACTATTTTGAACTAAAAAATCTAGAAGGCCAATAGAAGACGTAGGAACCAGGAGAGTGACTGACATAGCTTCAGATCACCACCTGGTGTTTGCCAAGTGGAAACAGAAGCTAAAGAAGAAATGGACAAATAAGAAAACATTATTACAAATCTAATACAGACTTCATTCGAGATACTGACGAACTCAACGAATTCAAGATAGTTCTCAACAATAGGTTCTAAGCTCCCTTCCACATCTACTCAACGAAGAAGAAACTACTATGGAGGACAATTGAGAAGGAACCAAAGAAGGATACCTCATCAAGATACCAAGGAGAGAAGATCTGGGCATTTGCTTGAACTACAGAGGCATCGCACTACTATCAGTACCAGAAAATGTTTTAAACACTATTGCTAAACCGGATGAAAGCACTCACTAGACGCACAAATTCGAGATCAGCAGGCTGGATTACGTAAGGATTGGACGTGCACAGACCAAATCGTGACATTACGGATCATTGTTGAGCAATTAATTGAATGGAACTCGTCACTATACATCAAATCCCTTGGTTATGAGAAGGTATCTGACAGTGTGGATAGCAGAACATTATAGAAACTTCTTCCACACTTTGGTGTACCAGAGAAGATTGTCAACATTATCTGAAACTCATACGACGGACTACAATGAACAGTCGTGCATAGAGGACAGTTGACAGATGCATTCCAAGTAGGGACTGGAGTCAGACAAGGCTGTCTACTCTCTCACTTCCTCTTTATTCTGGTGGTTGACTGGATTTCGAAGACTTTGACATCTGAGGGAAAGCACGCATTACAATGAACAATGTGGATATAACCAAACGATTTGGACTTCGCCGATGACCTGGACCTTCTATCCCATACACATCAACAAATGCAAGTCAAGATAAACGATGTAGCAGAAGTTGGCCTCAACATACAAAAGGGGAAAATCAAGATCCTCAAATACAGCACGGATAACAACCCAATGACACTTGATGAAGAAACTCTGGAGGAGTTGGAAAGTTTCACATATCTGGGTAGCATCATAGATGAACGTGGAGGATATGGTGCAGACGTAAAGGCGAGGATTGATACAGCAAGGATAGCATTCTTACAGTTGAAGACTATATGGAACGGTAAATTACTTTCAACCAACATCAAAGTGAGAATCTTCAGTACGAACTTCAAGACTGTTCTACTGTACGGAGCTGAAACTTAAAGAAGTACCACAACCATCATTAAAAAGGTATAAGTATTTATAAACAATTGTATAAACAAGATACTGAATACCCGTTGGCTGGATAGCATCAGGAACAGCCTACTGTGGAAGAGAACAAATCAACTTCTAGCTGAGGAGGAAATTAAGAAAAGACGTTGGAAGTGGATAGGACACACGTTATGGAAATCATCAAACTGCATCACGAGGAAAGCGCAAACTTACAATGCTGAAGGGAAACGAAAAAGAGAAAGGCCAAAGAGCACACTGCGTCAGGAATAGGAAGCAGATTTGCGAAGGAGGAATAGCAACTGGAAACAAATGTTTATAGATTGGATGGTGAATGCTGGTGAGCGGTCTATGCTCCTCCACGAGGCTTAACAGGAGTAAGTCTATATGGACTTATACATATCTATTTCTTCAGTCAAAAAATTTCCTTTCTCTCTCGGTCTTTACGCTTGAGTAGCCGGTTGGCTTCGTTTATAGGAAGATTGTATCTCAGTGTCAAACCTCAAACACTGAAAAATATAACAATCATCATTAATTTAGATAAAATATTCCACATTTTTATTTATTACTAACTCTCAGAACATGATGTACTTTTATAATCATCGTTGGCTATCATTAAGTAACTGTAGTTCTATTTGTAGTTATAAATACCATCACATTCATATGAAACCAAGTCCCTCCAAATGACTACTGATGGATTTATTGTCCAGTAAATTAATTTATAGACTATTTAAAAATGTATTAACACTTTTTTATGATGAAAATAATATAATTTTAGCTCCACAACCAAACCATTCAGCTCAGAGAACAAAACTTTATTGAAATCATCTACCCGAGATACAAATCTTATCCACCATCTATAATTTTAGCTTTTTACATCATAAAAAGTCCCTATCATTGATTTGTATTATAATTATTGTTTTAGGTGGATAAATTAGTCAATCAATTGGATACACATCTTAGACAAAATACTACAGAATCAACTGATTCTATGCAAATTTCAATATAGTTCAATGAATATCTGTATGTGGGAATTTATTTTTAAAAAGTTCTTATTATGGTTATCAACTTTTAACTGCAAAATATGAAGTACAATCGTTGAAATGCAAGTGTTTACTTTCTCACCCTTTCCATCTAAAAAAAATTCTTTATTAATGGTTAGTTTTATAAATTTTCTAGTGTTCGTTCTGAGGTTGTTCTTTTTTGTATTTTAATTTCTATAAAGTTTAAGATCATTTCAATTGTCATGACGATAGTGATATGTCTCGATGAGAATAATGAATGGTAATTGTTAGAATCTATTTCTGGTCTAATACTATACGTATATTTTTATCGTATAATTGTTAATTAACTAAACTATTCATATTCGTGTCTCTCTTATCATAAGCTTTATTTTAACCTATTAACTGTTATTATACGACTTTCCACTCTTGAATTATTCCCTGTCTATTAATCATTACCTCCCACATTTACAGCCACATTTGGCCAAATCTTGTACAAATGTTATTTTCTATTTTATGGTACGATGTGGTCTGCTTGATTGGTATATAAACAGAGTATGTTTGAAATACATGATTCATATTGCAGAGGATGAGACTGGTGTTCTGGACTTAACTGGCTGGGCTAGACGGAAAGCAGGGTTAATCAAGACACTAGACTGCTCTCACGTGTTTTACGCGTCCTTGGTTCGATCGATAATTCACTGTTCTCTAATTGGAGGTACCATTACGTTATACGTTAACAGGGCACACAGGCCGCAAGTTATAACATGTTCCGACACGTCTCTTGTGTGTGAAGTGGTAGTTAATCTCTTTGGTTTCGACGGCGAAACGCCTTCAGTAAACATAAAGACAGTGAACAGGAATACTCTATACATATGGCTATAGTTAAATGTAAAGATACTCAGTCCGAGTCAATTAAGCTCATACAGTCAACTTATTGGGGGACAGTAACGCTGAACTCACTTAAAAACAGTTTTAAAAAGTGGAAACAATTGGAAGAGACATTTCCGTGGCTGCAAACTAACAAATGATAGTTGTTTAGTAGTATAAGCCATAGTGTTCCGCATTGACTCTCACCTTCCAATCAATGTATCACTATATTTGCCTCTAAACATCTGTTTAGGGAATCCATTCCCTGTCAGCTATGTAGCATATGATAACACTAAGCCTATCTCAAGAACTGTGAACAGCCTTGTTATTGGAAGAGCTATGGTACTTAATAAGAACATGTTGAATGAAAATAATTGTAAATCCACTTTGGAATATGATATCCTACCGAGCATGTGGCTTCCAGATATATTGATTTAATGATATTGGTTAAACTATGCTCATTTATGTGATTAGTTTGAATGCCTGTGCCATTTGTACTAATGATTCCTTTGTGCCTACTTGCCCACCGATTGCGAATTCCAAATACAATACGTCCATTTGTACGCATCTAATTTTTTGCTTGACTTAAACAGCACTATTTCGGGAACTCCTAGTTAGTACAATAATTCAAATACTTCCAATCATAATGACCTGTACGTGATTCTCAATATTCTTTTATCTGGTTGTCTGTCTGTGTGTCTATATATTCATTAATCATGTTCGGTTACTACATTGATTTATGAATAATTGAGATGTGACGACACTCAGGACAGTTTGTTTTCATCTCATCAAAATGCAGATTAGACTAGTAGAGTTTAATCCTTGATATATTTCACGACAATGTTATTACCTGGAATTCTATTGTGTCAGCGTTATTTCTATACTAATATAATTGCTAGTTATTTCAATTACCATTGTCAATATAAATACAATTCAAACACAAAGAGATCTGATTTTGGTGTTAACTCAATACTGCTACTTTTCCAGTCCATTTAATCTGCTTTAAATGCGAACAATTTAACCAATACTAAGAAATAAATCAACTCTGTTCTTCCCACCAGTGAGATTCAACGTGGAACCTGCTGATTCCCAAAAGATAAGATGGGGATATTAACATGATGTATGCTATCTGTCATAGATCTCATTGTTTTAATAGGTTGCTAACGTTATTATTATCCTACACCACCTTAGGCTATATCAAGAAAGAGGATGTCAACTAATACTCGTGACATTTTCTGTGATTTTAAGACGTCGACCGTAGACTGGAACAACGCACCGCATGTAAAAGTTTTCAGAGCCTTTTTCTAAACAATCTTATAACACTCCATCTCTGACTTGATAAACAGTGAATTCCATACTCTTGAGTTTAGATCGATATCAATAATCACATTAGGGTTAACAATTATGTCAAACTACTATTTACTGCAATAAGAGCTATCTAATATGCACAAACATTGCGAAAATTAATGTGCGACGTCAAAATGTTTGACCGAGACTGAGGGATAAAGAAACCCGAAAAGACTCGATAACAAGTACTGTGTGAACAAGAAACGGTGTTCCAGCACTTTCAGCAGGTCTCATGTTGAAGCTGGCATGATATGATTGATAGAGTTGAAGGATTTCTACATTATTACAACCACAGTAAAAATATTTTTTCGGAGACGCATTTAAATTCTACAAACGCTTTATGGATACAATAACTATGAAATTGTCTCAATATCTTTGAGATGTTCATTGAATTCAATAGAAAACACGCTACTTAACTGAATGATTCCCAGGTTACCTCAAAGACATCCCATAAATGTCCGCTTTGCCCGTTCGTAACCTAAGGTAGGTTACTAGGCTACTTTCACCAAAACATGAGGTATAAGTTTCAGGATTGTCATTCACCAGGTCTAACCAGCGTAGTCTTCAAGATTCTAAAGTAGATATGTAGAAGAGTTGGGATTACCAATTGTATTCGAATTGGGATTACCAATTGTAGCGTGGCGTCGAGTTGAGATTAACTATGAACACCGCTACCAAGAAACACGTGCCAAGCGAATCAGAAGGCGTAAGAAGCTCGTTCCAAATGACTCCATAAAATCCCCGAGAAGCCAAATATCAGAAGACAGTTAATGGACCAAGTCGAGGTTTATTAGCTGGCGATCTCGTGGCATCGAAAGGATACCGAGATCGTGCCAGGATACAAGCTTGGTTACAGAAGGTAACCGAATTCGCGCGAAGTTACAATCGAAGTGTAAGTATATTAATGGAAGCACAAAATAGCCGTCATTAGCACAGTCAAACAAAAGCACGTTAAAACAAACACTGGTACAGTTGGTTATAATAATAATTGTTTTTATTAAACCAGTCGTGTTCTCGTGATAAACGTGAGTCACTACAGGAGCCCCCCGCTAGAAAGGGTTTACACTTTCGATAAATAGCGGTTTGAATCGTGGGACTGATCGGCTGACGAGCGATTGTAGGACGGAAGAATTGGCGAACAGGAAAGCGATCGTTGATCGTCGAGTTGCCAACGAAGGTCGTTTTCGGAGAACAGTACCAGGAACGATGTGTTGTATTTATTGCTCGAGTTGGCATGCTACACCAGAGTGGTTTGTATCCAGAATCTGAAGAGGGCGTTCGTACGGGTCCGGACCATAAACGCTGCAGACGAAGGACGAAACCACGTTGAGCCGATGAACCAGAAGCGACCATAACGACCAAGTTCGAGACCAAGCATATGCCAAGCATTCGAAACCAATATATCGACTGAGTACGTTGACAAGAGCGTGGGTGATCAGGCCAGCTTTCGCCAAAGTTGACTGAAGTCGACGGAACCAAACGTAGATGGTCGAAGGCGTGGGCTCAGGAAACAAAAAGAAAATCAAAAAAAGAAGAGTGTAGCATACGTGTAGTATAGGAATAATCCTATACCGTATCGGTTGTTGACTGTGCGACTAGTCGCGGAGGCGTACGGGCAACCGTACTCGGCGACCGGAACGTGAGACGGCAGTCTCGTTCGTATTTCGTGAGCCTGCAATCTCATCCGAGGTCAGAGGCGGCGTGGTCTGCTGATCTGGACGTGAGACTGTCGTCTCGTCCGTAGACGATGCAGATGACGCGTGCTGTTGACCGGGACGTGAGAATGAGGTCTCAGATGCATCTAGCGTGGGACCTGAAGAAGATTTAAGGATCCCGCTAGGTGTGATAGGTCTAGCATTGAATCTCAGGGTGTCAGATAGGGCACTGTCATCGACGTGTGCTGGTCTGAGACGATCAATGCTGACGATCTCGACGCGTCCATATCGATCAACCTTGAAGGTCTTTTCGTGACGAGCGATCACGTGAAAAGGGCCTTCGTAAGGTTGTTGCCAAGGTTTGCGTACCGAATCTACTTGTACAAAAACATGTGAACAGGTAGATAACTCTCGAGGGAGAGCGACCTGTCGATGTTGTATTCGAGTTGACACCGGAGACAGCATTCGCATAAATGCAGACAGTCGATGGACGTAGTCTGATTTACCGAAATTAGGTCTGCTCCGTGGTGTGAAGAATTCTCCGGGCAGACGCAATGTCGTGCCGTATACAAGCTCAGTGGCGGAACATTGGATATCTGCCTTTAAGCTCGTTCTCGCCCCTAAAAGAACGAGCGGTATGGTTTCGTGCCAGTTGCCGTTTTCGTGTGCTCGTAGAACACTTTTAAGTTGGCAGTGAAACCGTTCAACTTAACCATTTGGTGCTGGGTGGTAGACGGATATGCTTATGCGTATGCATTCCGTACCAAGCAGCTGGGTCAGCGAGGAGAATCGTTAATAGGGTAACATTTCTCGAATAAAGCGTGGAATTCATCATCACGTGAATAAAAAGTGACAAGGATTCGGTACACATACGTGTGAGTCTATTATATTAATACTATTCTTATCGTTATCCGTCATGTCGCGTATATTATATATAAAAAATATGAAAATATACGACAGACGTGGATAGATAAATCATAGACTCACCGAATTGGCTTCTTTGGAAGATTTGATCAGAAGTTGAGGCGTGTTCCAAAATACGGGTCACCAATTGTAGTCGAATTGGGATTACCAATTGTAGCGTGGCGTCGAGTTGAGATTAACTATGAACACCGCTACCAAGAAACACGTGCCAAGCGAATCAGAAGGCGTAAGAAGCTCGTTCCAAATGACTCCATAAAATCCCCGAGAAGCCAAATATCAGAAGACAGTTAATGGACCAAGTCGAGGTTTATTAGCTGGCGATCTCGTGGCATCGAAAGGATACCGAGATCGTGCCAGGATACAAGCTTGGTTACAGAAGGTAACCGAATTCGCGCGAAGTTACAATCGAAGTGTAAGTATATTAATGGAAGCACAAAATAGCCGTCATTAGCACAGTCAAACAAAAGCACGTTAAAACAAACACTGGTACAGTTGGTTATAATAATAGTTTTTTATTAAACCAGTCGTGTTCTCGTGATAAACGTGAGTCACTACAGATAGTTTACATAGATTTTGTTGTGACTTTAAGCCCAGCAAATGATTACGTGATGTGTTTGCAATCGTAATGCGACTTATTCAATCTTAGTACCGTGCCAAACCAATGACTTTCGACCGGTATGAGCAGCCTAGCGTCCGTAATGGTCCTTTCTCCTCCTAGCCCTGCAAGCTGAGTCCAGAACACAAATAAGAGCTTCTACTATGCGAATCACTTATTCCAAACATACTTAGTTTATGTACCAGCCAAACAGACCGCATCACACCCAAAATAGGAAATAATATTTATACAAGATCAAGCCAAAATGTGGTTATGAGCGTGGGAGACTGTGATCAATAAACTGAATATAATTTCAGAATAGTAATTTGTATCATAATAATCTATAGATCAAAATAAGGCTTATAATAGGAGGAATATATGTCATATTAGTCCATTATTAGTTTACAGAAGTTAACCGAAATTTTATCTTCACTAGGATATAGAAGTTTTGTTTGAGTATCTCCACACAAGCATGATAGAGTTTGATAAGTTAGACAAGAGGCACAATAAAGTGTGTGCCGGACTAAGCCCAGTCTCATATAGTGGTATTTCAATTCATAGTTTCTTGAGTATGTGGTTCGTGTTGCTCCACAAGATCTTCGCTGGCGCTTTGAACTATTGAGCTACTGAAGGGATCTACAAAGCCACCTACAGGTAAACAGTAATCTATGGATAAAATGGAGTTACTTATACCAACTGAGTACGTATTGGAAGTAATGAATATTCTAATATCAAATCCAAGTGACACGAATAATGCATGTCGCAACAATATAGTCCATCATGGGCACACCACTGCTCATAGAGATTCAATCGAAAATGTCAAACACACGAGAGAGATGTAGCGCGGGATCGAGTCGCAGTTGACTATGATCACCACTACAAGGAAGTGGCGATCCCGTAGTATCGAGAGAATACCAAGATCGTGCTAAAAGAGTACAAGAGGAATAACTGAGCAAACGTAAGTGCGTGCAAGTTCACAACCAACGGAAGCTAGAATGTCTTTAGTACAGTTAAACAAACAAGTACAGTAAAACAATCACTGGTGCAAGTGGTTATAATAATAATTGTTTCCATTAAACCAATTGCGTTCTCTTGATAAAAGCAGGTCACTACGGAGAAAGCGCGTGCTATCTGAAAAAGACAGTGGTATTGTTCTTCGTTGAGTTAATTAACTGTTTTGATCGTAAATTACGCATCAAAACTACTGTTTACACTTTAATTGTATCTACTCCAATTAAAGTGATATTGTATTAAGTGTTTAGATCTTGCTTTTGAGTATTTATTGCATCGAAGTATACTTGATCGACTTTTACTTGATTTATTTAGTTAGGGTTGAGAATTCTTTTTTTACATATCCTATTTGTGTCACCATTGTAGTTGATTTTCAAGATAGCCAGCTCTGCTCACAAATGTGAACAACCGTATTGCTTATTCCCCGTGGAGGAACGGATGCAATGTGATGAGTGTAATAAGTTGTTCCATAAGATGTGCACCCGATCAAGCCCCACTGCATATAAAAGGTGCTCAAAGCCAAACTCTCATTGGCTTTGTAGTTTTTGTTGATCGAGCAAAACACTGCTCATCCAGGAACCAATTGGCCTCCTGATGTTGGCTAATAAGAAGGTTGATGAGGGCCGTACTGGTAACATTGATACTGATGGCGAAGATTGCATTAATGTCGTGAGCTCTGTCACGGCGCAAGCCAGACATCTACCTGTGCAACCCGCAGTTAAACGTTCTCCCCCGAAAAGAACAGTGAGTGACACCTCATTAGACGTTGGTGGCCATATTGCTACAGCCGCGATTGGTGATCAAGATAAGGCACTTACTGTTCCGGGTTGTTATAATGTAGATGTTTCGACTGAGGGAAAATGGATGACGCGAAAACGCAGAATGGTAGGAAAGACAGCAAAAACTAATGACTGTTTACTTGACACATCCGTGGTGGACTCTCAGATCAATCCGCCAAAGTCCCGAAGTAAAACCTCGTCTAACATTGTTGTGAGTCACTCGCTCGACTCTCAGGACTCTGTTACAATGAAAACTAATCGTAAGTTACCAGTAGTTAATATACAGGATCTAACGTCACTTTCGGAAGCTGTTAACACAATTTCAACAGAAGCTAAACTCCTTCCTAATTTAATTATTTAGAATCTGGAGGAGTCGAAAGACAACGACCGTGCTAGAAGACATGCACATGACCCGCAGTTAGTGGAGTCTGTGGTAAGAAAAGTACTACCTGAAGAGGTTTCAGGGGTACATATTACAAAAGTAATACGACTTGGTAAATGGGATGGAGGCGAGACCCACTCAAGAAGAAACCTGAAGCTAGTTCTCGGGAGCTTTGAAGAAAGAGACATTATTGAAAGACATGCTAAAAACTCGTAACTCAAATATCCGTATTCGACCAGATTGGCCGCTTGAGGATCGAATCAAGTGGAAGAATGCTCTTACTGAATTGAGAACCCGCAAGTTAAATGGCGAAAATAACCTTACCATTAAGGGTTTTCGGGTAGTCAGGTCTTGGAAGCCAATGCTTCCGAGACCTGTATGGGTAGAACGATTGATTGCCAAAACACCTTGAGTGTGTGCTACACGAACGCTCGTAGTCTTAGAAATAAAAGGTCCGAGCTAAGTCTGATGGTGGATGAATTATGTCCCGATATAATTGTTGTTACAGAAACTTGGTTCACCGCAAACATAGAATGTTCTCCCATCATTGCTGGCTATATCTGTATTAGAAGTGATAGAGTTTTAAGTCGCAAGTGGGGAGATGTAATATTATACGTTAGGGATCACTTTCGCATACAATCAACCATATCGGAGGCTCATATCAGTGGCACATGTGAGGTAGCATATTGTAAGATTAAATCTAGAAATAGGTTAGTGACTATAGGGGGAATATAATGCAGTCCGTTTTGTCTTGCTGACGACTTTTCCTAAGGCACATCTGTTCTTGGAGTATGGCAGAATGTTCTCTCATCATTGAGGACTTCAAGGCACCGCATATCAAATAGATAGAGCTTACAGCTCCAGGTAGTGGTTTCGATAGCGACCTTTTATCTACCGTTATTCAGTGCGCGCTTGTAGAATGTATCACAAAACCGACGCATAGTGATTTCAATCACGATCCGTCACCGCCGGACCTCGCCCTCACCCACCACTGAGAGGATTTCTTTGTTATTCAGCACCTTCCCCCATTAGTGAACAGTGATCACGTTGTAATCCACTTTAAGTTTTGGACACATAGTATACAATTCGTATCTGCTCCACCCCGTCCCAATATCTGGCGAGTCAATATTCCGGAAATCAGAAACTGTGCTATCTCGACTGGTTGGTCGGTCGACGCAGATGGATTGATCGAAGATGAATGGAATAAGTTTAAGGCCACATTCGAGTCCGTAACGTCGCCATTTATTCCATGGTCAGCACGTAAGCTATCACATTTCCCTCTATGGATTAATAAGGAAACCCGGAAGCTGCTAAAGCATAGGAAACATATCTGGGACTTATTCATGTTGACAGATCATGCACCATTTAAGCATGAGTACCGAAAATTCCGTAATATCTGTAAGAAAACCATAGCCAAATCCCGTACCACTTACAAACGACAGTTAGTATATGATAGCCGTACTTGTCCGAAACGATTGTTTTCGTATGTTAAACGGCAAATGAAACGTAGTGATGGTATTCTCCCCGTTACTGTTACACGAAAATTCAGAATTACTAGCTGAGACTTTTTCAGACTACTTTAGCGAAGTCTTCTCTACGTTTATTGTAACAAATACTTGTCCCACTCACACCGAGATACCAACCATTGAATCTGTACAGGTGACTGAGGAAACTATCCTTCCGTTGATAACTAACCTCAAGCCTGGTAAGATACCGGGCCCAGACGGGTTACATCCACGGTTGCTGTCATCTCTTGCGAACATTATTTCAAAACCGCTCGCGACACTCTTCAACATGTCCCTTTCACTCACTCAACTCGCTAGAGATTGGAAGGACGTTATAGTTAGTCCTATATTTAAGGACGGTCAGAGACAGATAGTATCTAACTACCGGCCTGTCAGTCTAACTAGCATGGTCTTTAAGTTACTTGAAAAGATAATTCGGGTTAGGTTGCTAAGCCACATAGATTTACACAATCTGTTAGCCCCTGAGCAACACGGATTTCGTAACAAGCATTCATGCTTGACTAACCTGCTTATTGCGAGAGAGGATTGGACAGCAGCCCTAGATAACGGTTTGTCTTTCGATGTGATATTCATAGATTTTAGCAAAGCATCTGACAGGGTTTCACACGTAGGTCTTATGCAGAAGCTCACGAGCTTCGGAATAATAAGTACTGTACATGAGTGGATAGGAAACTTCTGTGACCCCAGAAAGAGAGTGACGGTCAACGGAACGCTATCCTATTAGAAGCCGGTCAAAAATGGTGTACCCCATGGCACCATCTTAGGCCCTCTGCTCTTCCCTCTCTACGTTAGTGAGTTACCGCTGTTGCTTAGGTCGTCGATAATATTGCTTGCGGATGATGTAAAAGTCTGGAGAACAATAAAAAGTGCGGCTGATCATTTGGATCTTCAAGCTGATCTAAACAATTTAATAAGATGGACTGGAGAGTGGGGCTTAAAAATCAATGCTAGGAAGAGTGTGCTAATGCACATCGGTCACGGTAATAGTTACCGTTACACTATTGAGGGTAAACCTCTTCCATGCGTTCAAGAGCATAAAGACTTAGGAGTAGTATTAAGTCATGATTTAAAAACAACTACGGATTGCAAAGCAGCCTCTGTCAAAGGTTCTCGTGAGTTATGGTCACTTT